TTGTCTCTGCTGCTCCTTCCTCTGCTCTCGTGTAGCATCCCTCCTGTGGGAGTTCTCCACAAACTTCTCCAATGCGAGTCTTTCCCATGGGCTGCAGTTGTTCACAGACTGCTCCAGTGTGGGTCCCCTGTGGGGTCAGGAGTCCTCCAGCAGACCTAATCCAGCGTGGGCTCTTCTCTCCATGTGGCCACGGGTCCTGCCAGGAGCCTGATCCAGCACAGGTTTCCCACAAGATCACAGCCTCCTTCAGGCATCTCCCTACTCTGGTGTGGGGTACTCCATGGGCTGCAGGTGGAGACCTGTTCCATCATCAACATCCATGGGCTGCAGGGGCACAGCTGCCTCACCATGGGCTGCACCATGGGTTACACCATGGGCTGCGGGAGAATCTCTGCTCTGGCACCTGGAGCACTTCCTGCCCTCCTTCTGCACTGACCTTGGTGTCTGCAGAGTTGTTTCTGACACATAGTCTCACTCCTCTCTCTGGCTGAAGTTTCTTGTGCACAATAACTTTGTCCCCTTCTTAAACATGTTATCCCAGAGGCACCACCACCACCACTGATGGGCTCAGTCTTGGCTGGCAGTGTGCCCATATTGTAGCCTATGGCATTGACTCTATCAGATGCTGGGGAAGCTTCTAGCGGCTTTTCACAGAAGCCACCCCTGTAGTCACCCCATTCCTCTCTCCCACTACCAAAACCTGACCACACAAACCCAATACATAAGTCCTTCAGTAAAAAGAAAGAAATATATAGTGAATAACAGGAGCTTCCAGAATAATAATTCCTGATTGGGAAAAAAAAGGATTCAAAACAGTAAAGCTAACAAAAGCACTCAGAGCTAGAGAAGATACTGTAATTGAGGAAACCTGGTTGAAAGTAGGAAAGCAACAGGAAAGCTGAAATGGTTTTCAGGCACTGTATAATACAAGGAAAGATTGGCAGATGTATTATATAGTAGAAAAACACCTGCTGTGCACAAGGAAGAAATGTTTCCTTTGCATATTGTCCTTTAATATTTTTAAGATTATTGTTGAGATAAAGTTATCCTTCTGGCTGCAATGAGTTTCTGTGGATTTGGCTATTACACAAAGCTTTCAAAGGAAGATCCTAATCCCCTTTACATTATCCTGTTATTTTTCTATAAGGAGTTTAAATGAATCTTTGAATGAAGTGTAATTCGACTTAAAGTTTAAAGTGATAAATTGTGATGCTCCTTTCAGTTTCTTGTTATTTGAAACAAAATGGCACTAGTAATAAATAATAGTAACAACTGTAAAATTAACTGAATTATACCTACTATTTATTAACTGAAGAAGCTCAGGAAGCTCTTTCCTCCAACTTCCATAACTGTCCCATACAATATAGTGAGAACATTAAAAGAACTTGTGTAGTTAAATATTGAACCCACTCCAGCACACAGTTTCTTACATTCTCAGCTTAGTACTGTCATGATTAAAGGGTGTGGAAAGGGTTGCCTTTCAGGGAAGCCCTCTCATGTGTGACTATAACAATGGCATGCTCAGTGCTTTCCCTGGGAATGGCAGAATACAATGTTCCCACTTCAGAGATGGGAAAAGCACAAGCATATAGAAAATTATAGCCTGCTTTGGAAAAGCACAGCACTATACCACCAGAGTGCAAATTATGCCTATGGCACGTTGCACAGAGGCATTATAATCTTTTCTTTTTAAAACAGAATTAGTTTAAAAGCAAAAACCTGATTAAATAAAGCTCTGACTGTATTATTAATGTGTTACAATCCAGTCTCCCTTTATTATGCAATTTAAAAACAGGAATTAATCAAAACCTGTGTTGGCATCCCAAAGCTGTCAATCTTGCACAAAACTTTGATTTCATTAAATCAGGTCTCTGATGTCATACTGATTCAAGGAGAAGGATTTGATGGAATTACCAGTATCATGTTGTACCATGAAAAGTCTTCTTGATTATTTTCTTTCCAAGCTAATGTCTATACTGAAGATCAAAGGAATATTTTAACATGGGTAAGAGTAATGAAAAGAAGTGTGTCTCTCACCATTTCAGAGTTGTTCAGAGGACAGTTCATCTTCCCTGCACCTTTTTCTTTATATATCATGTCTGGTGACATGAGTTAATGCTGCTCTAGGAGTACTGGTCTTGTCTATTCTTCACTATTTCTGTCTCTTCTCCCATTTTCTCACACTATTTGTATCATTCTTCCTTCATATGATTCTTGATGGTTAGTTTTTTTTCTCTATCTACTTCTGGAGTTCTTCAATATTTCAGGTTAAAATCTGGAGTCTTTTTTGGTATATAACCTACACCATGGCTACCTGATTTTCTTTGGTGGCATATAAATATGTATCCACATTACCAGATAACATAGTTCGATAGGAATAGATATACAGGGCATATCAATTAGGGCTAAGGACCCAGCATCCCCATTATTCATGTTTCAGGGAGCTTTAACTCACACTGGACCTGGTCTGGCCTCATGGGCTGAATGCCCACTAGCAGCTGGAGTACCTGAGGTGTAAGAAAATCTTCTGGTGCAGGTTCATCTGAAAAAAATTGAGTTTATACACTCGAGACCACTCTACAATATGAATGAAGGCATTTCAACTGGTGACAACAGGGAGGTTTTCTTCAAATTTCTTTCAGATCTCTCTACGTCTGAACTCAAACGCAAGTGTAGATATATAACATTTCAGAAAAACATTCCAATTTTGTTTCTAATCTTGAAGCCTCAAAATTCTGATATTTTTCTTGTTTCTTTAATGCATTATTCAGTTTTTTCAGCTCATGTGTGTAATTATCCAATAACTTTTTCTTAGAGCATTCACAGGTACAATGTAGACAAAAGATATTACTGTTCTGCTTTGCTGTCCCCTTTCATTTGCTTCTTGCATTTATAAAAGATAACAGGATCATGAAATAGTGAAATCCACTCAGGAAGAGAGAAGTCCATGGTCATTCAAGCATTTATGTGTTTCTTGCAGCTCAGATAAATTCAACAGAATATGGGGAACCTTGTCATTTTCTTTATAAGTACAGTGACAGAATGCTTTGAGAGAGAATAAGTAAGTCATCCGAGACTTTATGTGAAGTGATACTTTATGGCTAGCTGTCATATTACAAGTTTTGCATTATTTTGTAGAACTTTTTAAAAATTGTTGTCTTTGCCTCATTGGGAATCACTCTTTGTTATTAGAGTGTTATGGCACGAATAATGAATTGTTGAAACATTGATTATTTTTATAACAATAAACTCACAATTTGTTATGAGAGCTTTTATTTTTAATTATGTTCTCTACAATAGCAAAAGTAAGGCTATAAAAAGAAAAGGCCAATGGTGACTTATATGGCTCAATAGAAGAATTCATGAAAATTGTTTTTCTAAAGATGAAAACTAAAGTCTATGCATTTTGGCAGTCAGCAGGGATGATCTGTCTTCTCTTCTATAAATAAACAGAAACACATTTGATGATTTAGCGGTCATCACCATCAGTTGTAGATTTCCAGGAAGAATTCGGTTTATTGTTTCTTTTTTTAATTAGCTGAACCATGTAATGCTGATATTAAAACCGTAGAAAGCAGGCTTCTTGATGCTGCACAAACAAAAGCAATCCAGGATCTCATTTACATTCCTCTGCTGGTGTCTGCAGCAGATCTATAAATAGAATAGGCTACACACAGAAATTTATTATTGCAGCTGATAGTAATTTTCTTTTGCAAAGGTGTCTGGAGGCATTATTCATGAGATTCATTCTGTAGACTCTCCAGCTGAGATCCTCTCTTCCCAGAACTGCAGGTGGTCAGTTTAGAAATGCACTCATCAATTGCTATGCACAAAGGCTGTCACAAGGTTCACTTATTTCCCTGTTTTAAAAAATACAGGGGTTCTTTCAACCCCAGATTATTTTCTCCAACCTGATTGCATGAATATCATAAGCATTATCAAGATTTTTAAAAATCACATGCATTTTGTATTTTGTCACTGAACATCCTAATATAATTATCTGGACAATATAATTATCTGGACAAACACAAAGACTGTGGTTTGATACAGCTCACATCATGCCTTCTGTATTCATACCCACAGGCACATGTGACCTTATCAAGTATAAGACAGACATGTTTAGTAATGACAGAGGGTGTTTAGTAATGACATGAATTGACTTATCTAGCTGTCATCTAATTTCAGTCATAAAACAAGGGGAAAATCAAATAAGACCTTTAATGAAATTGTATTTATAATAAGTAACCGATCTTATTTTCGTTTTCCTACCATACCTGCTGTTGTGCTACCTTTGTATACTAAAACCCAGGTAATTCATACAAACAGAATATGCACGTTTCTAAACATTTGTTTTTATCACGTCTCAAGACTGAGTCCAACTTATTCTTTCCCTTGCCTATTCTATTATTCTGTCTATGACTGAGAACACAAAATATATGAAAGCAGAGATATTACCTGTTTATTCTGGTTCAGTTTCAATGTAAGCACTACCGTAAGTATTTTTATTTCAGTTCTTTAGATCCTACTGTCTTGTCACAAGCTATACGTAATAGCTCAATATACAAATGATGTTTCCATTTGCAAAGTAAGCTAGTAGCTTTATAATTTTTGTTTTCACTTTCTTTCCTTTTTTCAGCCATAATAGCAGAGCTGTTTTTCTGTAGCACTTATTTCAACTGTGTTATAAAAACAGCAGCATGAATAACAAGTAATACATGCTAAAAGCCGTACATCTTACCAGGAAAGGAAAGATAAATCAAAATATAAAATTAAACCTGAAAGAATCTCTCAAGTCAAGTCACCCATATGCCGTAAAGCATTTTGGCATCTCTAATGTCAAGTACACAAGCAAAAAACCAACCAACCAAAAAAAAAAAAAAATGTATTTCAACTGTAAGCAAAATGTCACCTATTTCCTGTGAGTATAAAACCCACCCTGGGTTTTTTAAGGCATTTTGTTACTTATTCATATTTTTCTGCTTTTCATTTAAATTTGTCAGTGATGCAGAAAATTGGTTTTGTGAATGCCCTAAGCTCTACTCTGGAAAACTCTGCCAGTTTGCAACTTGTGAAGAAAATCCATGTGGAAACGGTGCTACGTGTTTTCCAAATTCCAGGCGAGATGCTGTTTGCCTTTGCCCATATGGAAGATCTGGCATTCTCTGCAGTGATGGTAAGAACCATTTTCTTTATGCATAGGTGATAGTTTCTACCATTCATAGAAAATGTACAATAAACAAGCCAAACGGTTTGAAGGCAAAACACTGAAAGTGGTCAGCTTCCCACCTACGAACAAAGCCCAAAATCCAATCACATGCAAAAAAATGTTGCAGCTGAGCACCCTCGCTGCCTGTTGTTTCATAAAAGTGTTGATCAGAGAAAGGAAGACAGAAGGTCAAAGAATTTAAAAGCAGACAAGCTAGGAAAAAACAGAGTCTGATGTTTTAGTAATTTACCTCTAAAGAAGCTGAGAGATTTGACTGAGAGCTGCTTTGAAGAAATTAATTTCTCCTGTAGTTTAAATTTTCCTCTACTTGGGGAAGCATTACTTTGTACATTTTGTACAGTAAAGGAGTGTACAAATAATACTTTCTGGATTGTAAAAATACAAGCAGATGCTAAAATTTGATTAATTTCTCACATCAAAAAGAGGAACAAATTAAAATTTACCAAGTGTGTTGGTATGAAACAGGAGATAAGATGAAGGGAAATTAATAAAGCTAAGTAAATTGGTATTTTGACTAATATTATCAAATGAATGGCTTTTGTTCTTCAATCATTGATTATAATGATTGGTCTAGGTCAGAAATTCCTGTGTGTGAGCATGCAAGGTTCTCTTTTCCCTTAACAATGTAATAAGAAGTTGTCCTGGGTTCAGCGTTTAAACCACAACAGAAGTAATGATTGAAAAAACATGCATATAGAAAATAATCATTGGTTTTGAGCTGATTTAATAGTGCATATGAAGTGCTTTCAAAATAAGTATTAAGCAATGTCCAGATTGGATCAAAATCTACATTGTCTTTTTCTTCATATCACATACATCTGTAACTCTTATTTAAAATTTTAATTTCCAAAATTTTCAGCAGATTAATGTTTGGTTTATCCATGTTTTCTCCTAACCCTGATAATTGATAGCCAGTAGTGAATGTGTAGGCAAGTGTATGAAACATGTATGGTACTTCTTTGGTAATCTTTGGTCATCGTGCTTGTAGTAAGCGTGGTTAAAGCCCTTCCCAAATCTTCACTCGTGAAGCCAAGCCATCAATCAATCTTTCTTAACTTGTGGTATCACAAGATACTGGGGCTTCTTGTGCTGGGGTTGGTACCTGGTGTAGCCTTTGATAGATTTATTTTCTTCCATGTACTTCTCTAGTTGGTCCATATAAACTTGATTGATACGCAACATCCTGTGGCAAAAGCTCCAGAGCTTAAGTATATAACTTGTGCAGAAGTACTTCCATTTGTTTGCTTAACCGCTCCAATTACTAATGACATTAATGCCTCAAGCTTCTGTGTGAGAAGTTTCAGAGTTGTTCCCTGTTTTATGAATGTTTCCCTGTCCACCTTCTCCATGCCCCTCATGATTTTATATATATCCTTATTATAACCCAAAAAAAAATATTTCTGAATAGTTCAAGTAGATTCATTCATTTTTGGAACATTAGCCATGCTGTATCTTTAGTCATCCAGGCTTCCTTTCTTTGTTGCTTCTCAGTGCCACTGCACCCTCTTTAAAATGAGGAGCTGACTGCAGTACTGAAGGTGTGATAATATATAACACTGTTAGACATCTTTCTGATTTACTCTATGTCCTTTCCTTAAACATTTCTTCCAGCCTATTTCCTTTTATGAGTACACTGGTGTTTTTCATGAAACTGCTTATTAAAACTCCTAACACCTTTTTTTTTTGAATACTGATGGCAAGTTCAGAGTCCACAATTCTCAATGTAAGGCTAGGACTGTTTGTGTAATCTACCTCAATTTACATCTGTCAACACTGCATATCCTCTAACGCTTTTTCCCTGTAGTAGTTCAATGAGGCTTTTTGCAACTCTTTGTAGTTAGCTGTCTCTAAACTGACAGTGAGTAAAAATTGAGAGAGCCTAAATTGAGGGAAAGTACACAAAATCATTAGTTTGATTAGACTAGAGAGCTGAAGGCTTTGAAAACACAGAAAGAATTAATTTTTTTTTTAATGAAAAGGGAAAACTTTTTGGACCATCACTGTAAGCAAACAAAATGGGGAAGAACACCCAGCTTCATAGCACAGAGTATAAATCTAGGATCAATAAGCCCACAACACAAAAAAATACTGAAATACAAATATTTATTCTATTGACCTGTGTCTTAAGAGTTTAGAATAGAAATTAAGTGATCACAGACAGAAGTCTTGTTAAGTTGGACTTTGCACTGAAATTTAAAAAGAGCTGCAAAAAAAAAGCCTTTTTTCCACATATACTAAAACTGAACAAACAGGGAAGAAACAGCCACAATGCACTGAAGTCTGGGTGCAGCTTTAGGGATAGTCCTAGCAGCATCAAAGGTGTACATTTGGTGAGGTGTTTTGAAGATAGTGATAGATTGCCTAATTACAATGGTAGAGCAATATAAATTACATTAGAAACAGATTGTTTACTACAACAAAATGAATGGCCCAAATAATAAACTTGCTAGAAAGAAATGGTCCATAAAATCTAAAGTCTAGGTGTACAGATTTTCAACGAATCATCTCCTCTTTAAGATATACCAAAATGTTGTCTCTGCTATTAAGATTAGTAATCAAGTGCATACTACTTTATGTCTAAAACACTGATGGAAAGCTTGTTTCTCCTAAATGCTTATTGAGTACTGCTTGGACTTCATCAACAAGAAATGTGCAAGAAGTTACAGCGATTATTTGATAAAATTAGTATAGCAAATGTACCAAATAGAACTGCAGATTTCAAGCCAGCATTGCTGCTCCTACCAACAGATATTTACAAAAGACAAAGTAAAGCTAAATAAAGATGTGAACAGAACCACAAAATAACCCGCTGCTACAGAACTTGCACATATCAGAGCTCCAATTACCATCTGTTAAGAGTTAGAAGACACTCTAATTACATCAATCTCTCCAAATATGTAAGAAAAAGTGATAATAAATCTATGCCATATTAAATGTTGGGAAAAATAAAAACAAAATAAAAACAAAACCAAAATGCTTGGTGCAACAAGTTAAAAATACATCATTTTATGGGAAACAACAACATTCTAAAAGTGAGAAAACTGCTGGGTTACCATAAATATGACAAATGAGGCAAAACCTATATAAATAAGAAAACCAGACAAGCTTCTGGGACTAGCAAAGGTTTTTCTTCTATTTCTGAAGTAGATGGAGCATACAGCAGTCTGAACAGGCTCATAACAATTGCTCTGAGTTTATCTTAGTTACCCTATGCTTGTTTCAGACATCAAGAAAAGCTTCCTAAAATCATGTTCGTTTTTCCAAATACACATAATAAAGTGCATTATCTCTCACAACACATCTTTTCTTGCTTTTACCATTAGATTACTATGTTATTATAACTGCAAGTTGGCTGTTATATGTTGAAATCTCTCTCATGAAGCTACATAGCTAAGTCATAATGAATGGGTCAGTAGCCCCAGGGGCTGGTAATATAAGTTAGAAGAGAGGACAGGCTGTGCTGATCAGAGGAAGGACATAGCCAAACATACTGAACAGCCAACTGTTTTCATGCCCCTTTTGTTCCTGTATCCCTCTATTTTCCCCACACTCATTCCTCCTAAATCACCTAATTCCCTTCTTCTTCCCTCTTTTGTTTTCTCCCTTAGACATCCATAAATCCTGTGCTGTTCCAAAATGCTCTTCACCTGCATCCCATATTATGTCCCCAACTCCATGGTAGTTACACCCTACTGTTTAAAAGGTGCTCTAGTGCTGATTTGTCATGGTGAGTGTCACAGCTGGACACTCGGGATGAGGGTCTCTTGGGTCACCCCTGGGAGGGCCCAAACAGGGTGTCCCGTCCTCTGAATACTTAATTTATGTTCCCACCTACCTTTGGACTCTGTGCTCCTCTGGTATTGTGGGGGTGGACCTGTGGTGGGCTGATGGTCCCTGGAATAGGGCTGGGAGTAGCTGAGGCAAAGTCATAATTGAGTTACACCACCTGCCATTGTCTCTGTGCTGCTTTGTGTGTGTTAAGGGCAAGCATTTGTCACATAACCAAACACTCTTGATTTGAGGAGTTAAATGCCCCCATAACTTTCAACTCAAAGGGGTGCAGTTGCCTGAAACAAGAATTCAGTCATTTATTAAAATAGAAAACAGGAAATATTTAGCAATGAACATCATCAGTATGCAACAATTTGGAATAGAGACTGTGTCTACATGGGCAACTTGACTCAATTTCCAAGGTGACTTTGGCTTCTTAAACTGTACAGAGAGTGATCTACATCATTTACACTGAGTCCAGTTATGAGCTCTGGCTTTTTAGTAGCTTTGTGTGAAAGCAGTCAACATCCAAGCCCTGCTCTAATAAATTTTTTCCATACCTAATTTAGTAACAAGTTGCTTGCATTGTGTTTCTTGCAGATTGTAAGTCTCCTCCAGTCTTTAGGGTCACACTGCTGAATGAAAGTGTTTACAAATAGCACCATTTCAGACCAAATGAACACAGGATACGCATTCTCCAGAGGTGTTATGAAATTTTTTTTTCTGTAAAATGCTTGTTAAAATAATTCCTATATATTTGATATTTCTGCTTTTGAAGTCAGTCAGGAAGATATATCAACACTCATTATTGAAGCGGGGATTAGATTAGCTCTAAAGTGCCTGTCATCCAGGGAAATTTGTCATTTCATAAGCTCTAAAAATTAAATGAACATCCATGGTGCTTGCTTGATCTGAAGACAAAACTTGAGCACAGCCAGTTAGAGAGATGTCCAGATCACCATACTTCAATTCTTTTGAAATTAAGTTGAATTCTAATTATAATGATTTGAATAGAAATGTGCCCAAATCACTGTTGTTTAAAGTCAAGTAGTTTCAATGAAATTAAAGTATTAAAATTATATTATTGTGTCTCACCAAAAGATGCAAAGTTTAGGACACTGTTCTTGTTCCCCAAGAATTGAAAAATGAAACAATTTTTCAATTTCTGCAATCTCTGTAATCAGCCTTTATTTCATTTTTCAATTTTTTTAAGCCCTAGGTACAGACTGAAAGCATTCCCTGTTTGGTACAGGAAACTGGTATGGTCCGTAATACATAAGGCTGGTATGTTTGAATTATCTGAGTGCCAGGAAAATTTTAAAGAGGAAATATCAGGATATAATTGTATTGCAGAGTTATGATGGCCTTCTAAATGTGAGTGAAGCAGAAATGGTTCATTCACCAGGAACGGAAATGAACACTTTGACTTCTAAACTCTTGATTTAGTGGTGTTCAAGGCCAGGTTGGACAGAGTCTCAGTGACACGCTTTAGTGTGAGGTGTCCCTGCCCATGGCTTGGGGGTCGGAAAGTGAGGATCTTAATGTCCTTTCCAACCCTAGCTGTTCTATTATTCTATGATTCTATGATTTTGTTGTTAATTATGTGTTACACAAGAAACTGGGCCCTTCTGGAAAGCTGTTGGTCATAAGATGAAGCATTTTGTTAAGCCAGGAATCAAGATCAAGCAGTTTATAACACAAAGGTAAATGTAAAGAAGTAAAGAAGTGGAATGTGCGTTGCTAAGATGAGTAAATGTGTCAATTCTGGTGGTTTAAACCAAACTTCAGTGGTTTAGTTTCACTAAAATGGAGTTTAATAATCACTCACCCAACAGGGCCATCCACAGCATGCATTCACAGCAATCTTTTAAGTACCCTTCTTGAAACTTTTCCGAGCAGCATTTATGGTAATACTTCACAGTGCAAAGATTTCCAGAAGGATATCTGTAGGATGTATTCCCCACATGTATAAAATTAATTTCCAAGTGCTGAAGTGGGAATAGTCACTTGCTCCAAGCTCTGAAGAGTGAAAATCAGCCTGCAAGTGAATTGCTTCTGTGCAGCTGTGTCTGGCACACAATGTCACCTTCAGACTTGTTTGCGTCTGCAGACTAAATAGCACAGTTCAGTGACAGCAGATGCCCAAAGGGAATTTCCTCAGATAAAAAAAAAAAAAAACAAACCTGCATTGCAAGGCTTCTGGTCAGTTTGGGGAATGCTGATCTGGGTTGCTGCTCTTCCTGTTCAAGAGAATTTGTTTTCTGGGTCATTTGCTTTTAGCTGGCCTTTAATTTCCCCCTCCCCTCCAAATGAAAAATGTCATAAAAACTGTACAAAACACACATATGCACACTCACATGCTGTCGTGGTTTAAACCCAGTCAGCCATAAATCATGCAGTCACTCTCTCACTCTCTGCCCCCTTTTCTTCACCCCACCCCACCCCCCCCGCCCTGCTCCTGGAGGGATGGGAAGGAGAATCGAAGGAATGCAACTCCCACGGGTTGAGATAAGAACAGTTTAGTAACTAAGGTATAACACAAATCACTACTGCTACCACCAATAATAATAATGACAAAGGAAATAACAAGGGAAGAGAATACAACACCTCAGCACCAGCCGACCGATAACTCACCCCCCAGGCCTGACCAAGCACTGACCTCCTCCAACCCTGCAGTCTCCCAGTCCTTCCGGGTAACTCCCAGTTACATCCTGGGCATGACGTGCAGTGGTATGGAATACCTCTTTGGTCAGTTTGGGTCAGGTGTCCTGTCTCTGCTTCCTCCTGGCTTCCCCTCCTCCCTGGCAGAGCATGAGGCTCACAAAGTCCTCAGCCAGACTAAACATTAAGTGTTATCAGTTCTGTTCCCAGGCCGAAAGTCAAAAACATAGCGCAGCACCAGCTACTAAGAAGGATTAAAAATGACTGCTACTGCTAAACCCAGGACACATGCTATTAACTTCACTGCTGTATTACCAGTTTTTCAGATTCATATTTTCATCCTTGAGTAGTGAAATCACTTTTATTATTTCAGATCAGGAGTACAAGTTACTAGAAATAAGCTAATGGGCCCATGGCTCCACGACTACTAATACCACAAGGCAAATAAAAGGAACATAAGTATTTACTGCAGCTGGGGAGGGGAAGGCATACACCTGAACTACCCATTATGTGGATCACTAATTCCTCATACAATAGTTTTCCAGACATCGAGAGTCTTTTACTATCACCTTAGCTCAGCTGACACTGCACTGCTCTGCAGTTCCAGCACCCCTCACCTTATCCTCCTTGCAGTTCCCAGTTTCCTGTAAGGAAATTGGATTGCCTATTAATGAAAACATCATTAACGTAGAACTAGCAAAACATGTGAACTAAATACACAGGAGCATGCAATTGCACTGTGTTGCAAGTCGAGCAAGTGGGGAAGAAAACCAGCTTGGCTGAACAGGGAACTCCTCATGGAGCTCAAGAGAAAAAAGAAACCATATGATCTCTGGAAGTAATGTCAGGCTTCTCAGGAAGAGTACAGAGCTGTGGTTCATTTATGCAGGGAGAAGACACAAAAGACCAAAGCTCAATTAGTTGAAACTGCCTAGTGTTGTGTCAGATAACAAGATAGAGTTTCGAGTATGTTACTAGCAAGTCTAAAGAAAACATTCGACTGATACTTGTTGAAGATGGTCATCTGATTAATAGGGATGAAGAAAAAGCATAGGTATTCAATATAATTTTTTCCTCAGTTTTTAATAAGACTGACAGACTTTGGGCTGCCCTGAGTTGGAGGGCAACAAGTATGGGAACAGTGATTTTCCATTTGTGGACACTGAAATTTTGAGACACCATTTATTTCAGCTACATGTTTACAAGTCTGTGGTGCCTGCCGAGATTCCTCCCAGAATTCAGAATGAACTAGCAAACATTACAGCAGGGCCTCTCTTGATCATCTACTAAAGGTCTTGGGAGCCTGGGGAGGTCTCTGCTGACTGGAATGTCATTCAAATCCAAAGAAAAGGGCATGAGGGAAGATTTTTAGTAAGGCTTTTGGTATTGTTCCTCACAGTCTGAAGATGTTGTCCAACTGGGGGATGAGCAGGTACATGCTGCCCTGGGTTAAGAACTGACTGAAGGGCAGAGCTCAAACGGTTGTAGTGAATGGGCTATACCTGACAGGCAACTATTCACCAGAAGTATTCCTCCAGTTTCAGTTCTAGGGCCAATCCAGTTCAAATGAAAAGGATTTACTTATGCTGGAGAAGTTCACAGAGAACTGTCTCCTGTGAGATGGACCCTATGCTAGAGCAGAAGAAGAGTGTGAGGAATTCTCCCTCTTAGGAGGAAGCAACAGCATATCCAATGTGTAGTGGACTGACCACAGCCCATCACAGCTTGGAAGATTGGAAAATCCAATGCTCAGTAGTGATTTGCATTCCTTTTTCAACATCGCCTTTGCAAATATGTGAGCTGGTATTTAGGAGGACTAAATTATACTCATTGTCCTGTGTATATGTCTGCTGATCCCGAAGCCAGACACTGAGCTGATAACTGTACACAATTAGTCAATGATAATATAAAAAGGTGTATTATGCAATTGTAATTCTATAGCCTGAAATCTTCATCTTTTTCTATCCCTTTCATCTGTCTTGTTTTTTACAATGTATTGTAAAGCTAAGATTCAAGATACATTAACTGTGAACACTGAAAGGAACATTAACTCAGAAAATCCAAAGATAATGAAATTATTATTCTCTTTTTTCTTTGTCACTTTATTTTCTCGTCTTTGTTAAGATTGTTATCAAACTATAATTTTTATTTTTTTTTTTTACCTCCCACTTCTGTGCTTACTTCTGATAAGGTATGCAAAGGGAAATTTAGACAACCATATTAATATATTTGTATAATGTGATAATTTGTCATTATTTGTTAGTGATTCAATGGGACAAATCATACCTTATTACATGTTCAGTACCGGGAATGCAGAAGAGAACAATGATGAATGGCATAGGACTGACAGACACAGAGCACAATCAAAGACAAAAAGTTCATAAGAGGCCTCAGCTCTCTGGCAGAGTGGTGTGTGGTTTGGGCACAATGTTAACTGGAGTGTGTTTTTGAAGGTTTATAATTAGAGCCATTGGGACACATTTCTCAGAGGTGGCAGTTCTTTTAATGGGAGAATGTCTATTTTCTTTTGTCTGCCTGAGTTTTGAGTGAATATTTCGGTGCACTTCTGTTTACAACAATGTAACAGAATCCACGAGATGGCAGTAGTTGCCAATAATTCACTTGTATGAGAAACCTATTCACAAGAGCTGAAAAATAAAGATTACACTCAGAGGAAAGCCAAACTATATCTGCATATATTTAAAATATTACAACGTAATGAACTCTTAGTTAATTATCAGTTTTTAAGTTCTAAAATGGCTGTTAAATAGAATTTGCAAATACATATGTTAAAGAGTTTGCTCTAACACTGAATTTATTTTTTAAATCCAGCTATTAATATTAGCCAACCGAGTTTCAGTGGCACAGATGCCTTTGGCTATACCTCATTCCTGGCTTATTCTACAATCCCAAATATCACCTTCTACTATGAATTCAACTTGAAATTTCATTTGGCAAATCACCACTCAGCTTTACAAGATAACCTTATTTTTTTCACTGGACAGAAAGGTCAAGGTAAGCTTTATTTTTATTACCTATCCTTACAGTCTTTGAAAAATACATTAAACAAGTACTTTAAAAGCACACAGAGGTTTTTTTCTTGATTATTTTTAGACTATAATTTCATTAGGAGGAAAATAATCTCTCTGATACTATACTCTTTTGTAAACACACGGTAAACAATCAGGCTGTATAAATTTTTCTTTTCATTAAGAAGTATAACTTCTTCCATTCATTAAAGTCAGCAGTTAATCTGATACTTGAGGCAGCGTATTTCTGAACAAAATAAATGGAAAACAGAATGTTCAAGTTCTCGTTTCAGGCATAAACATAAATTTCATTATTGATTACATCTATTTGGTGTGCAGTTTTGAGAGATGCTGCCTCAAATCTTCTTCCACTGATACGTTATTGGAAAATCAATCCATCCATCCAATATGCTGCAGTCACCCTGCATTTCTTCTTCCTGTGTTCTCAAACAACAGCCGCAGGAGTAACCATGAATTGCTGCTGTTGTCACAGGGCTGCACTTCCAGGGCCCACAAGACTCTAAACACTGAAATCCAACCCTGTGGCAGACAGAATTGGACTCTGTTATTTACGTAAAATAACAGACCCTAACCCCTGAAGTCACTCAATGCAGGTTAACCCAAGCTAGCTATCAGTAAGTTGTGCTACAGTCTGTGTTGCATAGTATCCAAGTTGGTGTGATTAAAACAGATAAGAAGCAGGTTATATAAATCTACTTACATCTGTACTAAGATTTTAGCATTGCACTAAAGTTTGTCTCAAAAAGACCTGCCTGCAGGTTTTACCCTGTAATGTCAAAGTCATGTGAAATGTAGGTCTCACAACCACATATAGCTGAACTGAGAAAAAACAGTTCTTACTGATGTCATTTTTATCAACCAGAATGCTAGCATTCTGGGCTTATTATACAGTTGTCTGTCAGAAACCTGGAATTTTATTATTTTCATGTAAATTTTTGTGAACACTGACATAGAGTAGTAACACATTTCTTCAGCCTCATGTCAAATGATGGGTAGGTAGCAGAGCACCAGCTGTCGGCAAGGCTGAAAAACAATGAGATGCCTGGTAAATCACAGGTTTATTTATTTTCTCCTTAGTTTAAATAGCTTGGGAGACTGAGTAACCCATTTCAATTACCAGAAAGCAGTATTTCTTACCAAATGAACTTTGCTTATTTGACCAAGTGAAGATGCTGTTGTTCTGACAATAATGCTCACACCATGAGGAGCATGAGAATTTGCACAGCCTCTGATCTTGCCATAAGGAAGTATTTTTAATATTCTCTTTTCATTTTCCCCTTTCTCCACTTTATTTTATTTCTTATAGCGAGCATTCCTTTGCAATACCCTACCTGATTCCCCTGTTTCACCATATCTGCATAAACCACAGACACTGATGTCATGGATAACCTCTGGTAAATTACTATCAAATGTTGTCTAATACAGAGATGTATAAGATCTTCCTCTTACACCCACAAAGTCACTCTTGTTCTAATATCTCACTTAAAACCAAAATTCTCACAGCTATCAGACTAGCAATACTCTTGAGGAGAGGAAAGGTGTGGGAAGAAGCAGCAGAGAGAAACAGTTGTGTACTGACCACAGACCCCCATCCCCATGCCTCACTTGGTGTTAGGGGTGGGGAAGAGGGGACTGTAGTGAAGAAGTGAAGTTGGACCCTAACATATGTTAAGCTTATATAAATAGCTGTTATGTTAAGCTTATGTAACAGTAAGCTTCTGTAAGTGGTAGTTATTCTGTAAGTAGGAGTAATAATGTTAAAGTAAAAGCAAACCCACCTGAGATTATTTATACACACAAAACATTTGTTCTCAGTGTGAATTATTTTTAAATGATGTTTACTATAACTCTATGTTGCAGGACACTTAAAACTGGTACATATAAAAGTGTGCTCTGTCAACAGCTGCAGGGTTCAAATATTGTACAGTAAAAAATAGTTTGAAACAAATAATTCCAAGTTTCATTTGCTGCCCTCTTGAAATGAAAATGTATTGTCGTATTTTGTGTGTGTTTCCCCAAAAAAAAACCCTAAACATTTCTTTCAAAGGACTTTTGCAAATGATAGCATATGTAGTCCTATTTTTAAAGCAGTTATTTACTTCATATTTTCAAATGAAGTACTTGTAAACTGAAAATTTAAGAAGACTTCAGGGAATTAAAGCGTTCTGACCAGGGAAACTTTAGTAACAGAACTAATAACAGATACAAAAGCAGAAAAAGCAGGAAATATTTCCTCCCTGAAGTCCATTTATTAGTGTATACCAAATAACCACCATTGGTTTTCATAGCAAAGGTATTGAAGCCATTTAAGTTACAACCTTGAAAGTATAAAATGTTAAAACATTTTGGATCTGATTCTATTTGCAGTTATATTAGTGTAAGAAAAACAAAGTTAATAAAATTATGCCTTTATAAGATTAATGTAGAAGTAAAAATCAACTGGTTTTGAATCCCAAAATAAGTCAGTCAGAAATCAACAAAAAGAATGGTAATTTAAGATGGCCTTATTTCTTTGAAGCTTACTCAAGAATCTGTTTTCCTCTCCATTCTTGGTACAGACAAGGAGTAAGTTGAAAGAATCAAAGCCAACCAAACAGCGAAAAGCTGTCTTGTTTAAGCAGACTACTAATTAGCCTTACCTTCACAATCAGATCAATTTTGTGGAGCATGGACATTGTTGCATTTCTTTTATGCGCTTAATTTCCAAGAGAGCTTTTTAAAAATCCAGACAGCATTTTAAAAAACACTTTGTCTTTAATGTGCCTAGTTTTGCAGGCCAAAACAAGCAAGCGCATTGTGGACACTGCTGAAAAATAGAAACTTTGGTAATAATTAAAAAAAAAATTGTTATTTTCAATTTGGAAGTTGTTCACTGGTAGTGTGCCAGTGTAACTGAAGGCAATGTGGTTTCATTCAGTCATGAACAAATCACTGTAATAAAAATTAACAGCGTTTGTGTTGTATTGAACTGAATGTAATTGAACATTTTCTACAGAGGCTGTGTGTTCAAATTCTTTGGAATAAGTTTTTCTTTTTGTATAATTCATGGTGCATCAAAATAGTAACTGTATAGAAAAATCAAACTTCTGCATAGAAAAAGCAGAGTACTGTGTTGTTGTACCTGTGCATTACTAGTGCAGCATGCTCATTTAGAGCATGTGAGATAAGTGGAATATAATAATTTTGGACATGAAACAGCAGTATGCAGAGCTTCAGTGGGAGGAGGAGATATAAGTATCATTGCTTCTTGTGGGGAAAAGCCAGCCCACTTTATCTTTTCTGAATGAAGCAAATTCCCCATGCACTTGGAGCAGGGCCATCAAGACCCATATTTGATATGAGGGCCACCATATGTCACCGCAAGAACAAACAGGAAGAGACCTTCAATAAAACAAATACAAAATGAAATAGTCTTAGGAAAACACGAAAATATCAAATAAAACACCATTTACTGGCATGAAATTGAGCACCAAATTGATTGAACTCACGGGAGAGTTGTAAAAAGAACCTGATGGCTTTGAATTTCAATTCATAGAATCATAGAATAGTTAGGGTTGGAAAGGACCATAAGATCATCTAGTTCCAACCCCCCTGCCATGGGCAAGGACACCTTACGCTAAATCATATTACCCAAGGCCTCGTCTTGAACACTGCCAGGGATGGAGCATTCACAATCTCCATGGGCAACCTATTCCAGTGCCTCACCACCATAACAGGAAAGAATTTCCTTCTTATATCCAACCTAAACTTCCCCTGTTTAAGTTTGAACCCGTTACCCCTTGTCCTATCAATACAGTCTGTAATGAAGAGTCCCTGCCCAGCATCCCTATTGGCCCCCTTCAGATACTGGAAGGCTGCTATGAGGTCTCCACAGAGCCTTCTCTTCTCCAGGCTGAACAGCCCCAACTTCCTCAGCCTGTCTTCATACAGGAGGTGCTCCAGTCCCCTGATCATCCTCGTGGCCCTTCTCTAGACTTGTTCCAACAGTTCCATGTCCTTTTTATGTTGAGGACACCAGAACTGCACACAATACTCCAGGTGAGGTCTCACAAGAGCAGAGTGGAAGGGCAGGATCACCTCCTTCGACCTGCTGGTCACGCTCCATTTGATGCAGCCCAGGATATGGTTGGCTTTCTGGGCTGCAAGCACACACTGCCAGCCCATGTTCATCTTCTCATCAACCAACACCCCCAAGTCCTTCTCTGCAGGGCTGCTCTGAATCTCTTCTCTGCTCAGCACCTGTAGCTGTGCCTGGGATTGCTCCAACCCAGGTGGAGGACCTTGCACTTGGCATGGTTCAACTTCATGAGGTTGGCATCAGCCCACCTCACAAGCGTGCCCAGGTCCCTCTGGATGGCATTCCTTCCCCCCAGCCTATCAACCGAACCACACAGCTTGGTGTCATCGGCAAACTTGCTGAGGGCGCACTCAATCCCACTGTCCATGTCACCAACAAAGATGTTAAACAAGACCAGTCCCAACACCGATCCCTGAGGGATGTCACTCGTTACTGGTCTCCAGCTGGACAATGAGCCATTGACCACAAATCCTTGTGTGCAGCCATCCAGCCAGTTCTTTATCCACGGAGTGGTCCATCCATCAAATTGATGTCTCCCCAATTTAGAGACAAGGATGTCGTGTGGGACAGTGTTGAACGCTTTACAGAAGTCCAGGTAGATGACATCAACTGCTCTACCCCTGTCCATCAGTTCTGTAGCCCCATCATAGAAGGCCACCAAATTGGTCAGGCAGGATTTCCCCTTAGTGAAGCCATGCTGGCTGTCACCAAGCACCTTGTTGATTTTCATGCGCCTTAGCATGCCATTCAGGAGAATCTGCTCCAAGATTTTGCCAGGCACAGAGGTGAGACTGACTGGTCTGTAATTCCCCGGGTCATCCATTTTCCCCATCTTGAAAATGGGGGTTATATTTCCCTTTTTCCAGTTCTTGGGAACTTCACCTGACTGCCATGATTTCTCAAATATGATGGCCAGCAGCTTCGCAACTTCATTTGCCAGCTCCTTCAGGACCCGCGGATGGATCTCATCAGGACCCACGGACTTGTGCACATTCAGGTTCTTAAGATGGTCTCGAACCAGTTCCTCTCCTACAGTGGGCACAAGGTCTTCATTCTCACAGTCCCTGCATCTGCCTTCCAAGACTCGGGTGGTTTGGTCAGAGCCTTTGCCAGTGAAGACCGAGGTAAAGAAGTCATTCAGAACCTCAGCCTTCTCCAAATCCTGTGTAGCCAGTTCTCCCGAGAGCTTCCTGAGGGGGCCTACATTCTCCTTAGTCTGTTTTTTTAATTTGCTACGTACCTGTAGAATCCCTTCCTGTGATCTTTAATACCTGTAGCTAAGTTTAATTCTAACTGGGCCTTAGCTTTCCTAACCTGGTCCCTAGCTTCCCGGACAACATCCCTGTACTCTTCCCATGCCACCTGTCCTTGCTTCCACTTATTATAAGCCTCTTTTTTCATTTGAATTTTCCTCAGGAGCTCCTTATCCATCCAAGCAGTTCTCCTGGCCCTCCTGCTGCACTTCCTTCTAGTTGGGGTGCAACACTCCTGAGCTTGTAGCAGGTCATCCTTGAATATCAACCAACAGTCTTGGGCCCCCCTGCCCTCTAGGGCTGTATCCCATGGAACATTCCTAAGCAGGTTCCTGAAGAGGCCAAAGTCTGCTCTTTTGAAGACCAGGGCAGTGAGCTTGCTGCACGCTCTTCTCACTGTCCTGAGGATCTCAAATTCGAGCATCTCATAATCGCTGCATCCAAGGCTGCCCTGGAGAGTCACATTTCCAGCGAGCCCTTCCCTGTTGGTGAGCACAAGGTAAAGCATGGCACCTCCCCTTGTTGGCTCCTCTATTACTTGCAGAAGGAATTTGTCTTCCGCACAATCGAGGAACCTCCTGGATTGCTTGTGCCGGGCCGTACCATCCTTCCAACACATGTCAGGGTGGTTGAAGTCACCCATGAGAACAAGGACCTGCGAGCGTGAGGCTTTTCCTATCCTGTGCTTTATCCGCAGGTTCTCCTTGATCAGGCGGTCTGTAACAGATCCCCACAGTAACGTCTCCCATAGCTATATTCCCTTTAACCCTGACCCACAAACTCTCTGTGGACTGCTCACCTGTCCCCAGACAGAGTTCCATACTCTTCAGCCTACCCCTAACATAAAGGGCAACTCCCCCTCTCTGCCTGCCAGGCCTGTCTTTTCTAAAGAGCCTGTAACCTTCCATTCCAACACTCCAGTCATAGGAGCCATCAGACCATGTTTCTGTGATGCCTATTATATCATACCCCCATACACATGCACACATCTCTAATTCCTCTTGTTTGTTCCCCATGCTAGGGGCATTTGTATAGAGGCATCTGAGCTGAGCTCCAATTGAAGCCGGCTCATTGGCTGGAGCAGCTGGGATATCTCTACATTGCTCCAAGCATTTATTATAGGTTCTGGCAACTGACTGGGTGTGTTGGAATTGAATGATGCCCCCCCCCCCCCCCAACACATCTAGTTTAAAGCCTCCTTGACCAGTCTGGGAAGCCTGCTACCAAAACTGCTCTTTCCCTTCTTTATCAGACCAGCTCCACCACCCCCCACTAGACCTGGCCTACAAGCTTGGGTCCCATGTTCAAGACACCCAAACCCCTACTATGACACCACCCTTTTAACCAGTTATTAACCTGGCTAATCCTCCTAGCTTTTTTTTAGGTCTTTCTGTGTATCCTGGAGAACTGACAAAAAGACTATCTGAGCTCCAGAGCCCCTAACCACCTCCCCCAGGGCTCTGTAGTCCTTTTTTATGTTCCCCAGGCTACTGCTATCTATATCCCTAGCACCCACATGTATCACCAGGAGTGGGCAATAGTCCATGGGACTTACTAGAGCAGGCAGCCTCTCTGCCACATCCCTGATCTATGCCCCCGGTAGGCACAGTAGGCAACACACCTCCCTTGAGAAGGGGTCTGGCCGGCAGACAAGTGCTTCTGTCCCTTTCAGTGTAGAGTCCTACTACTACGATCCACCGCTTTTTCCTGGCAGCACCAGTAGAGATCTTCTTTAGCAGTGCATCAGCCGGCTGTTTCTGGCTCGAGTGCATTTCCTCATTAGTCCCCTGCAGGACAGCAAAGTGGTTCTGCGTGGGGACAGGGGATTTAGGGGGAAGCCCCTTGCTTTTGGTTGTCCTTTTCCTTCTTTTTTTGTTGTTGTTTTTTTTTTGTCACTAATTCCCAGCTTCCCAGGTTAACGGCCTCCTTCTTTCCTTCATGAGGTAGAGGTGAAGGTCGAGGCCCCTGCACAGTTTGGGCGTGGAGCAAGCATTCCTGCTTCCTCTCAGCTTCCCTAAAATCTTGCAGCCTATTGACAGCGCCCCGCAGCTCAGCCCCTGCTGCAGGACCTCCACCAGGGAGCACCGAGTGCAGCCCTGCCCATCGTGCACCCTCCCCTCACCAGACCAGTGCAGGCACTCTCTACACCCCGAGCTCTGCCCTGCAGCCTCCCCTCTCACCGGCTCTGTCTGGGTGCCTACGCTGGCCACCGCCGGGGCAGCCAGGGCAGAGCTCCCGGACCGGGCCCTGCTCATAGGACGAGTGCTCACCATCCTGCTCGAACCGCCCCCACAAACTGCCTCACCGCACTCCGGGTCGCTCGCGCTCCCTGGGGCAGGTTTTTACCCAGTCAGGGCTGGTGCCGCTGCTTCAGGCTCCGCCCCGTGTGAGTCAGCTGCTCGCTCTCGTCAGCTGAGCTGCCGGCTCCTGGGCAGGTCCTGTCGAGGACTTGAGGCTCCCTTGGTGGCTCTTGTCGCTCTGAGTTGAGGCTCCTGGACGCTGATCTCCACCCGCTCCGGTGTTGAAGGCGTCCTCTCTCGAGCTACTCACCTCAGCAATTGAGGACATCCTAAACCAAGACTGGGAACTTTCTTTCCTTTTACCACTGTTTGTATCCCGGTTCTTTTACCATACTGAGAGTATGTGCAAAAGAAAAGATAGGGTTTGTAAAAAGAAACCGGGTGATTGTGTTTTCTTTAACACGATATAACAATGGTAGTTCCACTCGTGCCTACATGAGAAGAGGGATCGAATTCTCTTCAAAGACGCTGGGCTTAAAATCCATTTATCTGGATGACCAGGAATAGGTCCAAGAATTTAACTCTTACTCATAGGCTTTTTGTTAGAGTTTCTAACGAGATCTTTCAAGTGAGATATTATACTATGGTACCTGAAAAACACAGACTACACTTATAGCATGTAGTCCTAAATGTAAAGAATCTAAACTATTTACTGCATATTTGCAACTTATTGAGTACTAACCTGAAAGTTTATGAAGACTTCAGAAAATTTAATCCAATGGCTTTTCTGACCAGAGAAACTTCAGTAACAAATACTCTAGGTGGGGGCAGCTGCAATAAAGTCTCCAGCATTCTTGAGTCGAGGGCAACTGTCCAAGCTTGATAGAAGCTGCTAGAGCTTCAAGTCCATATCCCTGCTGGTTCCTTACCTCTCTGCAGCAGGTGCCCTCAAGTTTTTTGTCTGTTAAAGTGCCTACCATGAAAGCTGAAAGCATAGTGGAGTAGAGCTAAGTACTTGACTATTCTCACATGTGATTTGCTTTTTTTAAGATTTTGGAGAAAGTTAAGAATTCATTCATGTTGCAGGGGGAACAGCAGTGACTGCTAAATCTAACAGACACAACAACAGATAGGCTTTGTGGTTGTCACTGACCTAATATAGTATGAATAAAAAGGCCTCCAAAAACCCTATATATTCAAAATCTCTGCACCTTCTATTTTAAATCGACAAGAATTCTGGAAACAGTATTACAAGTTAAACAGAGACTATTAAATATATATACCAAACATAAAACCTTCCTGGCTAGAATTTTCCTAAACTGATATATTTTCAGTGCATTTGGAGAATGTTTTCTGTATCAGTATTGAGTAAAGACTGGAATAAGCAGTTATTCTATATTTGTCTTTTCAGGTCTGAATGGAGATGATTTCTTGGAGTTAGGCCTCCGTAATGGCAGAGTAGTATATAGTTACAATCTAGGTTCTGGCACAGCAACAATCATTAGCAAACCACTTGATCTGACACTCAATATTCATGTCATCCATCTTGGCAGATATCTCCAGAAAGGCTGGCTAAAGGTAAGGAATCATTTCCTCTAGAAGGATAGCTTTTAGATGAGCATGTTCTTTTTATTCACATTTTATATGGAAAGTTTAAAAATTACTTTTGTGTTCCCTGTTAACTTTAGAGGACCATCTTCATTGGGAGTTCCTAAATAAGGTAAATTCCTTTGTTGTAACAAATATAAATGTTTCATTGAAAGGTGAATGATCAGAAGAATAAAACTGTCACTTCTCCTGGGAGACTGGTTGGACTCAATGTTTTCAGTCAGTTTTATTTAGGAGGCTATCGGGAATATGCTCCAGAACTCCTGCCAAAGGGATCCAGATTTAAGAACAGCTTTCAAGGTAAACATTATCTACTGTTTTCAATTCCTTTTAAAACATGCATGAAATTCTTTCAGCTGCCTATGAAATAAAGATCTAAAATCTCTTTCTTATAAGGAAAAAAACTAGGATGTCCCTGCTCAGGCAAGCAAATTCCTGCGGCTTTTTCATTATTTCACTGCAATAACTAAGAAACATTATGCAAAGAGATGTTTTGCTAAATATTTTAAATATTTTCCGTTTCTGATAAAAATGAAACTTTGCTATGATATCATTTTTTCTTATCTGTCACTATTGTACAGCATCACTCCAAAAGGACTTCCTTTCTCTGCAGCCAAGTAGCTTAGATTTTTCTCCCAGCTCGCTCTGACCATTGTTACTGCAGTGTTGGTTTGGGTAATAGCTTTCATGCTAGAAGATTCTTTCTGATAAAACATCATGAAATCTGATTTTTTTTCCCTGACATCATGATCTGCATCTCTATACAGGACCTAAGTAATTCCTGTTAGCTGTATTTCAGCTATTTGTCTAACAAATAATTATTCCCACCACAAAACTGGCAATTGAAGCTCTGTAAAACTCTTAATTCAAATCCTACCAGATTAGCAATGAAGTAAGGTATTTGTTCATAACACTTCTGTATTTGCATTCCTTACTTCCATAGGAGTAATGTGCTTAATATTTGTGATGTAAACTTCTATTTATTTTAAGCACTAGAAAGCTTTTTAAATGAAAAGAAAACATTTTGCTATAACAGAGCAAAGTTGGAGTTCTCAATTATAAAATTGGGGCACATTATGAAGGGCAAGCATAGAAATAAAATTCACTTTCATACACTGCTTCACTCCATTTCCACTGAGACCATGTAACTGCTGCTTTTCCAGCCATCACCTTACTTTTTGTTCTTACAGAGAAACTTCCTCAACATCAATTTCTTTTCCTGTAGTTAACTTTTCACTCAAAAAGACATATGAATTAACATGTCATCTGTCTCTGTCTTTTCAGAAAGTATGGGTTGAATAGCTATAATTTTCATAGCAAATATTTTAATACTGTCAATATTTCTGAAATACTTCTGGCTTTTTTAATAGACATGCTAATAGCAGTGATCAACAGGAATCTTGTGCTTTGCTTCAACTGCAAAAATTTTGCTAGTTTTACATGTTCCTCATGTTGCGACTGTATTGTGATGGCCAAATTTCTACAAATGCAAGATGAAAATTCCTCCAAAAAATAAAAAGTAGTTCAAAATTCATGTACTGTTAGTTAGCACTGCATTTTTTTTTGTTTTTCTTACTGTTTAAAAAAAGTCTCTACCTCAAAATTTTGTCAAATGTGTGGAACATACACAGTTTTCTCTTTGTCCCTACCATTCACAGTATTAAGTCTATTACATTTCCTAATTCATTCCATGCTTCACTTCCCAGCAGCAGCTTGTGTCTACTCTCCAGAGCATTTTGACTTTCAAGGGAGCTGCACTTCTGTATGACCAATTTCTCATGACATTTTCAGATGTCGTCAGCACTTCATTTGTTCTTCTAGCTCAGAAATAATCTCCCCAGTTTCAGCTCTCAGGATCCTCATGATCAGAAATAAACTTCTATAGCCCTTCTCTAGAGTGGGAACTGCAATACCACTAATATAAAAGCATTTTACTTCAGCCAATCTACAGCTGTAGGGGGCCCGCAGAAAAACTCTGAAAGTGACAGCCAAGATTAATTTATCTAGCACATTGTTGATTAAACCACTCAGACTTTTGGAAAGCTGATGTTGACTGCTTTTAAAGACAAGATTTATTAAAACCATTTTGCTTCTAATACCAGAGTGTACCTCTCCTTTTCTAAGCAATCACTGTTAGGTCAAGAAACATTGAGGTCAGCCTTGACTAACCGTCCCCAGTGTCAGTGTGCAATCATTTAGGATTTTTATTGTATACAGCTACTGTTTCAGACCATTTCCTCTCCTACCTGCATGTCTTTAGCAGTTGTTGCTCAAGGAATTTCTGTGGGGGAGGAGAAAACTGAAAAGAAATGTCCTTAATAAACTGTAATTTAATAAGAAAAAGGTTGGAAGTTTACTGTTTAGGAAATTTGTGCATTGGCACCTACAGATTCTTTTGGTAGGCTGAAGAATGTTTGATGGTACCTTGAATGATTTAGAAAACTTCCTTCAGCCTCTGTGATAAACTGCATTTGTAGAAATTTGGCCATTGCAACACAGTTGCAACATGAAGAACCTGTAAAACTGTCAAAAAACTCTAAAACTGGTTAAAGTGAAACACCAGATTCCTGTTGGTCATCCTTAATATTAGCATGTAATGGTAGAGCTCTGATGAAGCCAAATTCATGTGGAGTTTGAGGTGCTGTTAACTTTGAGCTTTATCTGAATTTGTAGCTCTTTGTGGGCTTATATGTGCCTTTTGTAATGTTAACATGGTAGGATAGTTTACTTAAGTGTCCATTTTTTCCTTACTGACCTATAACAGTGCAACTAAAGGACCTTTGAGAGTTTTCTGAGGTGCGTAGCAGATCATACTACATTGGCTCTAAAAAGTCAGTGTGGGTTTTAGGTAGCTGCAAGTCTTGTGGCCAGAGAGACTCAGCCTGCTCGTTATGGACAATTTGAAACACAGTATAAAAGCAACTGCCTTCTGTTCAGGTCTGCACAACTCAGCTCTATGACTCACCTACACAAAATGAGATAGACTGTTGTTTAGAAAAAGTGAGAAGTAACAGCTCAGTTTCCAGACTTCACATAGCTGAAACAGGCAGAGAGAAATCTGGTGGCAGGTAGAAAAAGAGGCAAACTTCTAATGTTTCATGGTAAGGCATGAAACATCATAAGCCATGAGACATGCCACCCATGGTGGCGTGATGCAGTCTTTAGCCAGAAAGAAGTGAAGAACAGAGAAGAAAGAATAACCGTTTGATCCCATAGTCTTGTAAACAGGATTAAATATGGCTGTAGAAGCAATCTGTTGTTTCACAGCAAATAGTATTAAATGAAGGAGTAAAAAGGAAAAAGAAGTTCTTACCATTAAGCTGAAATTTTGAGGAACCTTTTTCACACTGAAAGAGCCACCTTTTCACAAAAATGATTTTGCAGAGAAGTAAATGAAATTCCAGCTACTGAAGTCACATTTTAAAGTAAACCCAGAACTCAGTGATGTTCCAAATAGATACAAATATAGCCTTGTGGTCAAAGTTTATGTTCATAATAAAATAGAATACATTGCAAGCCTGCCAGGGCATAGACTACTTTTCTTTATGTTTCTGCATCACAGATGTCCCAGAAGGAAAGTGATACCTGAAGCAATTTTTAATCAGTGTTGCCTCTCGCATCACAGTTTGGTATGATCCATACAGGACCTCTAGGCGTTTGGCTCACAGTTTAGAGCAGCACTGGGTGGTCACTGTGGGGGCCTTCTCTATTGGACAAGAACCACACTACTCATAAACCTTGAATAAAAACAGGGAAAAAACAAAGCACTTCAGGACAGGTAGAATTCTAGAAATGTGTAACTTTAGGATATCTATTTCTGTAAGTTGCTGCATTTTTAGTACATTTTGAAAATGACTGCTTTGTGTATTTTATAGTCAAATTAGTGCTGAGGGCTTACAAGCAGGTAAGGGACACTAGTGAGAAATTTTTGCAAAAAAAAATCTTTATGTGATAAGCATATATGAGAAAAAAAAAAACAACATAAGGCTGAGTAATGAAGCTGTATTTTCTATTATAATCTCTGAAGTTTCCTTAATCAATTATTGGTTTGAGAGATCTGCTAGCCTGGGGTGAAAGCCATAGATTAAATTGAGAGTGAAAAAAAAAAAAAAAAAGAAAAATTAATTGGCAGAAAGCTCTAAGTGTGGTCTAAGGAGTCACTAGACAAAAGATCTCAAATAAAAAGATAGTATACCCTCTGTGAGTACACTGTCTTGTGTTTCAGCTTACTTGCATCAAACTCTGATCTTCAGGATCAAACCAAGTCTAACTCACAAATTCAGAACCTTCTTTTGAGCTCCTCTTACAGACTTGGCTGTGTCAGAAAACCTCTCTACTATTCAGAATAGTTGGCAGTCTCTCATTAAAAGAGGCCCAGAACAGGCAGAGCAGAGGGAATTCAGGTCAGAAAGCAAGCACATTCATCAGATGATCCCTCTGCAGAAGGCTTTATAGTGCTTGCTACAACAGGCTCAAATTGCTTCTCTGAGTCCTCCCTCTGCAACCCACTTACTAAGAACTAGAAGAAATTAAGAAAATTAAATGAGAGAAAAACAGTTAAACTTATAAAGCTGGGGCAAAATACTATTGTACCTACTATATGCTTTGTTTACAAGTGCTCAAGAATTGTTCCTAACCTAGATGTTCTGCTGGTACAGTTAAAGTAGTCATCAACACAAATGACAGTTCATTTTCCATTATGACCTTACCAGTTCTTGGGTACTCAGTGTGCTTTCCATTGTTTACAAAGAGCTCTGGGCTGCTTTTTCTTAGCACTCCAGCAAGACTCGGGAGAACAGAACATGCTTTATCTGTTTGTTACTGATAAATAGATGAAACATCAGTTAGGATTTAGTGAGCATAGAGAGACCTAAAACCAACACCGTTAAAAGCAGAGAAGCAATATTATGAAGATTGCAAATAATCATCAAACCAGGTTATTTTAAATTGCTTAATGAGTTATCTGTCTATACAAACAGAACCACAAAATGTGTGTAATATGGAAAAAGCCTGCAAAAGCTACTTTTAGTAACACTGTTCTAACTGTAATTAAAATAGTTATCTTGCTGTAAATATTATTTCTAATTTGTTTGAAACAAATTATGTGACATTCATTCTATCTTTCAGGTGCAAGACTTTTTCTTATGCAATTTCAGTGAATCATGCACAAACTTTCTAAAAAAACAGTGTGATGATTAGTTGCAACCTCCGTATCATATCCTTTCCTTGATTTTAATATTAAGCAATGAGCCTCTGGCATACACTGCTGAATACCTACTTTCTCATTATTTCGGGCACTGTGGGAATTCACAGCTAAATTGTACAAATCAGACTTAGAAAGGTATCGGTATTTCCAAATACATTACTGTACTGCCTTAACTAAAGTGATTTTTAGTTTGAAATTGTATATATTTATGTATAGATGGGGGTGGCATTTCAAAAGTACTTAAGACTACTTTTAAATATGGCTTTAAATCAATTGGATGTTCAGGTATATTTTGAAAAGTTATTCGGGGTTTGATCAAAAATGATATCCTATATGCATAATCTTCAGCTTTGCTGTACATAAATAAGCATGTAAATCTGGAAACATGATTCAGAAATACTACGGAATTAGGTTAGACCCATAAAGCTAACCACCGTGTGCAGTCTCTAGGAAGTGCAAGGACATTCTAAAGTCTTTGCCCACAGGCTAAGCAGGAGCTGCCTGGAGGTAGAGTGTAAGGAACACCTCTGCTTCACTCTGAAGCTTTGGCTCCCCTTTTCATTTGGGATACCAATATATTACCAAATCACAAGAATGTCAGGGCATAGATCCAGGCGCTGGCACCCAATCAGCTCTGTGGCCCCTGACAAATATTTGATTTGTGATAACTATCATTTTTTCCAAACAATTATTCGGTGTATTTAGGGACTTAACATAATCTAGGGACTATTTCCCATCAGTAGCCTGGATACAGCTATACTGCTCTGAAAGTTCTGTAATATAATCATGACTACTACCAGGTCACTTGCCCACAGGACCAAGTAACAGGCCCTGGAAGTGTTTGCCTTAATAGTACACATTAAACCTTAGAAATGTTTTCTGAGATTAAGGGTCTAAAGGGGCAGCATATGCCTACTTTAAAATGTGATCATGTGTGATGTGATCTGTGGGTAGTAGGGACTGAAGCATTCACTTAAGAAGAGGACTATTTCTGTCTTTCCTTGAAGGGGTCCTTTTCAGCCTAAGTGGTTTCAAATCCACGTTCCCTGCCTCTATTATATTTGTGTATTCTCTAGATCCTTACATATTTTACGTTAAACAGACTTCCTGATGCCTGTTCTCCTTTTCTGTTGTTGTTGTTTCTGTTGTGGTTTTTCTTTGTTGTTTGGTTTTTCTTCGGGGGGGGGAGGCTACCACTTTTATCTGATATAGAAGCATTCTTACAAGAGCATGCATGAGTAAACACAAAATTGTACCTAGTCACTCTTCAGTCCACTGTCCAGCTCTTTGGCTTCTTTTGATGTCCTGTGTCTAGTTTAAAATTGATTTATTTTTTTGTTTGACTTTTGAGGTTGCATTTTTGATGTTCAAGTTCGCACCAGCATGAATCAAGAGTTTAAATCACCTGGAAATCCAGAAGGTCACCCCAATTCTGGTCGCAGTGTTGGACAATGTAAAGATTCACCATGCAGTTTAATAAAATGCAGAAATGGTGGGAAGTGCATAGAAAGTGGCTCTACTGTTTAGTAAGTATATATATATGTGTATATATATATATATATGTTTTAGACTACAGCATGGACTGATCTCTAGACGTCTAACTATGGTAGTTTAGTGGCTTGGTAACAGACGTTTCCAGAAGCCTATCACCTTATTAGGAGCAGGAAAGAATGAAAACTGTTGAAGAGTTCCTTTAATTACACAGAGAATTTTAATCTTACTTTAATAAAATCAAAACTGTAATATTAGAATTATGTGTTTGCACTTCCTGGGGAACTTTCTGAAGAAATTCCATGGTCCGATTCTGCTCCACTGAAGTCACTGGCATCCATTCATGACAAAATGCATGGAAAGAACTAGATGGGTAAGAAAGACATTTTTCAAAAACTCAGTAAGAAGCCTAGCTAGCAGAGAACAAATAGCAAAAAGAACAGCTTGACTGCCTTAATATATAAACATGGTTGATGAAGTAAAAATAGGTGAGTTCTGTTTCCTGGAAAATAGTGTTTTTTATCTAAGAACCCATTTCTGGAGTAAACCACTGGCTGCCCAACATCAGAAAGTTCTGAGCCAGTTTAAATCCTTAGGACTTTCCTTACCTAGTACCTATGCATCCTTCTCTCGTGCTCAGTCACTCCTTAATACACAGAGTTTTCTGTGCTTCCAGTTGTGATTTCTGTGGATGTTTTCCTGACTCTCAAATGCACCTTCCTGGTCAGTCTTCATGCCACTCAAGGATTCATTCATGATTGTCTTTCCAGATCTGCTGGCTAGCCTGCCCATGTAAGACCTTCTTAATCAATTTCAATCAAAACAAAGTGTATTAGTAAGAATCTTATGTTGAAATAGGTTGAACTAGGTCAGATCATATAAGCTGATCACCTGGCTGATCTATGGGATGATAAGTGGTGGGAAAGGACAGCTGGCCCAGATGTGTGTATGGTCTTTCATACCTCATCACTACGCACAGAAGGATCGTCATGTCCAGACTGTAAGGCACACAAGAAGGAAGTATATTTGCAGTTCCAAATTGCTGTTGTGTGTCAACACTTCCATTGTAATAAAGCTTGTTTTCAAACACTTTGTAACTCAGCTGTAAAACTTTTGCCGAGGAGCACTTTTGATTTTGGAAGTACCTGTCAAGATTAATTATACTTGCTTCCCCTCATGTGCTTCCTCGTGTGTTCATTTATTTACATGTATTTACATATTTTTTTAAAAAAGACAAAAGTGCTGATTTAAAACATCTGAAGACACTGATTGAAAACACTGCAGACAGCAAGACAAGAAAAAGAAAAACACAAGTTTTGCACAGTGGAACCTCTGTGTGATTCTTCTTCAAAACAGCAAAGACCTGTCATTCTGTGTGCTACAAAGAAAAGCATTTGCATACCTGTCAAGCTAAAAACAGTCTAATAACTGTGTGTTGGAGAGAGCATTGTATGGTAACTGGTTTTGCTGCCCTTAGACAAATCTTCATCTGCAAGAAAACCTGTACAAAACTAGAAGCTACTACAAAGCTAGTAAGGCTGTACTAAAATTTAAAATATTCACCCTTGAGAGGCAGTGTACAGTTTCTTCCCCATTCCCCTCACAAGTGCATTTATAGTCTTTTAAATACAGAAACGAAGGAAATGCTTTGAATGATATAATTTGGGATTGCTTTCCATTTGTTACACTACATTATGTCCCAATTAATGCACTTTGCATGATCCTTCCAGAAAGGTTAAACCCTTAATTTTCAGAATGTTTTATCTTTCTGAGGAATAAGAAAGGAGAATGGCACTGTTTTCACATGTGAGGATATTAGAGGAGATACAAAACCAAAACTGCAAGGAAAAAAAGGTATCAGAAATGCAGACTCTCATCTACCCACCTACACCATCCACCCTAAATCCTTGCTCAGCAACTTTCCCAGCCATGAGAAGTCATCTTCCCAGCCATAAGGTACACAGAGCCACCACCAGCAAGATTTAGAGAACATTTGGAAAGAAGGTGGGAGGCTAGAGTGGCAGCTGTTGACATAGCCATATTGCAAGCTTGATATGATAACAAAGTTCTTTTTCATCATTATAGTTTCATAATTAGTATTCCAGATTTGTTTAGGGATTGTTCTAAAATAGTGGGGCTTTTTTTTTTTCTTCTTCTGGGTTTCATTTGTTTTTAATTTGTCAAGACTTACTGCTGAATTATATTCCTCTCCTCGTATTTCAGGAAAGCTAGGTCTTCACAGACTATGTGTATAAGCATGCAGGTACTAGTAATGGCCACTTTTTCCTCTCACAAAAAAGTGAAACGTTGCCAAAGAAAGAGGTGTGAACGTAGAACGCATATCGCTTTTGTCAATGTAGTAGTAGCTGTTGATACCATCCCACATTTTCCCAGACGGAACTTCTTTCTGTTTTCAAATTATCTGTGTTCCTTTGAAAACAGAGTACTTGAGGGAGCTGGATTTGTGTTCAAATATTTTTCCTCCTGAAATGCAATCTCTCCAGAGGTTTTCCTGCTCCTTTGAGCTATTTTTATGTGTTACTTTCACCAATGTACCAGAAAGTGTGCAATGCTGTAGATTCAGTTGCTATAGGGATAATGCTTTGATTTAAATGGAAGCAGGGATATACATCATTACACTTTACATTCTGGCCTGCAACAGAGGACAACTACTATGTTTTTTTAAAAATAAAGATGAAATATTTGAATAATAAGACTTTTATATTCAAGGGACAATAATACCCTCCATTATTCTACTTATGGCACAGAATCATACAAAACAGAAAATGCGTATAACAAGATTGTTTATGATGTGTTATGGCTGTTGCTTGCTGCTGAAGTAAGAGAAAAAGCATGTCTTCTGTGCACTTTGAATAGAACATCAGGCATAAGAGGTAGGACTCAATTTGTTAAATGTAAGCATGTGCTGTCACTCTAGATGCTCATGGGTAAACTATTTGGCCTTCAGCTGCTGCTTCAGAAGAGCTTAGGACTCATTTAAGTCTTCTGTTGTATCTTCAAACCTCATGTAGATTTTCCTGTGCTTTATAGCTTTTAAATAGCACTAGTCAGGTTAGGAAATCAAACCATACATCTATATGGTACAGCCACATAAATTTATTTGCTGTTGTTTCGTTATTAGGTTTAATTCAATTTGAACCCAGTTTCAGTGCATGGATGGAATTAAATTTTAATGCAAGGACATACTTGCATAGTTTGTAAGGGTCAAGGCATTTGTCTATTTAATTATTGTGGTAAAGGTTTTGGAGTGAATTTGCTATCTAAAAATCATCATTCAAATCGGCTTATTTAATGGGACACATTTGTAGTATTCCATTGTTCTCTTTGTTTAAGTATAATTTCCTTCCAATCTTAATCTCTTTGGACTCCACGTGAGCTAAATGTATAAGATCCTACACAGTCAGTTACATTCTAATAGCACAGATCCTAAGATACCTTTTTCAGTCTTTATAGGATGTCCAGAAGGACACAAGTCTTCTGCAGCTCTTCTATCTTATCTGCTGGTTTTGTGCAGATCCCTCAGATACACCATGGCATGTCAGATGGCACTAAATACCTGTGTTGAGGCAACTGAATGCAGCACCTCATCATTAGAGCCATGTGTGTATTGCTTTGTGAGATTGATAGTGCTCAGTTCCCCTGACTGTTTCAGCTGGATCACATTATTGATCAGCACATGAACTCAAGCACCTACTTAAGGATCCCATTGCCTAAACTTGAGCATTCAGTGGTCTTTATTAGTTGCCTCTCACATATCTCTAGGAAGGCAACATCAAGCATAACATAAAATTAGGTGTCTAGATCTCAGAATGAATTTTACCTTTTATATCTAAGAAATTCAAGTAACATCTGGATGATGCTCTTAGCCATATGATTTAGTTTTAGGAGGTCTTGCAAGGAGCAAGAAGTTGGACTCAACAGTTCCTATGGGTCCCTTCTAATTTGAGATGCTCTGTAATTCTAAATGGGTCTTTAAATCTCTAAGAGTAAAGGCAGTAGTGATGTTGAAAGCCATTGTGTTCTCCTGGTTTGGAAAAACAAGCAATGACAATCAATAAAATATACAGAAAACTAGACCAGCATAGCAGGCCACATGATGGAAAGGATTTGAAAGATTACATCTTCCCTTATCTTGCTAAAGGTTAGGAAATTTTGGATCTAAACATTCCAATCCCAGTCTAACTTAGGACTGTTAAGTAAAAGAGATTTCATTCTTTCATAGACCTTTGCCACTGTAGCCCACAACAAACATGTTCAACTCTCCGCAAATAATTTTCAACTCCTTTAAAAGCCTAGCTTTTTTTAGGTCCTAAAAGACAAGAATGAAAAGAAATTTATACACAGACACAAGCAAGAGAAAAGAGGAAAGAATCATTGTGTATGCTGCCGAACAGCAGTAGCTTCAGCTCCAAACACCCTGCTTCCCAGCCCAAGAAACAGACATTTCTGTTTGCACTCAGGGAGTTAAATTACTCCCCCTTCTCAGTAGCTTTCGTGCATCAAAGCATATCATTTATAGCTGAGACAGGAAGTGTTCTGATACTGACTTTGATGAATTGAGGTTCTTTTGCTTTTGCAAGGTCCTGTCCTCTTTTCCCCTTCATTCCAAACAGCTGTTTATCACTCTGAAAGGCTTGTTGGCTGTGCTTTGTTTACATGTTTCGGTCTTATCTGAAGGTTCAGTGAAACAGCAGAGTTTCACAGACTCCTCATTAAGTTTTGCCCAGAAACAGTGAGCTGATTAATGGGGAAAGTGTAGTGCAGTGAGTTTGAAATAAAATTCAAGATTTTGCACATATACAAGACATGGCCTAAGAATCAATCAAGATATACAAGTTTTCATTCTTAGCTCTGAGAGAGAAAACTCTGTAAGTGCTCTTACAGAGGAAAAAATCTGTAAGTGCTCTTATTCAAGGGAATAATTTTGGTTATCATAAAGTGTCACTAAGTTCCAAAATACAGATCTGAAATATTTCATTTTAACTATTTCGAAACGTTTTAGTAAGGAGGGCACTAGTAACATCAATGCTAAATGTATTCTTTATTTAACAATTTCTATAGAATTGATACTAATTTTAAAATTGCAGTCAGTGTTAATACTAAGATGTAAAATAAAACGTTTCCTATTGAGTACATATTTCTTTTACAATAAAATAAACCTAAAATGACCACAAGAAACTTTGTTACTACACTTTTCTTGTAACCATTTTGGTTCAGATGACTAAATACAGGCATCCAGACTTGAAAGTGTTGTTTGTATTGCTACTGTATTGTTGATTATTTTGGGAATAATGTTGCATTCTTTCCTTTCACTTACCACTGCAGCTGTGACTGCCTCGCTGGATGGAAAGGCGCATTTTGCACAGAAACAGTGTCAGTGTGTGAACCTGAGCACGTTCCTCCACATCTGTGTAAGCAAGGTGGTACTTGTGTGCCGCTGCCTCATGGCTACACATGTCGCTGTCCTCTTGGAACAACTGGTACCTATTGTGAACAAGGTATGTCAAATGGATAGTACACTGTACATACAGGTATGCTATAATGCCTTGGTGGAAAAGCACAGTATGTTGTAATATATCAATTAAATGTGACGCAAAGACCCGAAGTACAAAATAGATTTTATATTAGAAAGTGGTGCTCCTTTCTATTAGAAAAAAAAAAAATCAACAAATCAAAAAAAGCTATGCATTTTTAGATATTGTTTTCTAACTGCCTATTTTTTACATCTGTTTCTTTAATTTTTTTCAAATTATTCAATGAAATTTTCATGGGCAGTGTAGCTGTGATTTGTTAAATGCCAAGAGGACAGAAAGCCTTGCAAAGCAGCATTACAGTGATTAGTTCAATTCCCAAGCTCACATACAAAAGTATGTTAGAAGTCATTCTTAAATTCTTTATTCCATATAAGAATGTGCTTGCTCTATTGTATCTGCTGCAAAGAGCTTTTCAGGGCTCTTTAGATGAACTTTTCAACTTTGAATTCTCATTTCAAGTGAATGTTTTGAAAGTAATGCCATCTGGATTCAAGACATAGATCACCAGGGCAGGTGTTATACATGAAGCAGGTAATTAACCAGGTAAACACTCCTGTGTTCTGGTTTCAGAATAGATTTGGATGTTTTTGTGATGGCCACTATTACCAGTATAAATAGCGTATATCTGGGCAACAGAAAATTGTATTTCTCGTAGATTGTCAGCCTTTTAGTAATTCCTCTGTCTGGTAAACACATTAGAGAGTTCCTCTCTGGTTTATTTAAAAGATGTGGTTTTATGAATAGGGAGTACGGGTCCTGACCAAACTGTTTGCCCTGTGTTTCACCTCACTCTGTCAGAATAATGAATAATCATGAGATTTTTTTTAAGTGCAGTTTGCACTTTCAGTTGATGGCAAATTGCTAAAAAGCAGCTGCTTATCAAGACTGAACATTTCCTCTTTGGATTGATGGTGGTTATTGGAGCCAAAAGAAAAGGAGACAGAGAGCAATGAACAGCACAAAGGACCAGGAGAGAAAAAATGGTAATTAAATGATGGGGACTAATAAATGTGCAAGAAAGAAGAGGAAGTGTGAGGAAAAGAAAATGAAATTTATGAAGGAAAAAGCAGAGGAGAATAACAAGCAGTAAGAACAAATAGGACTTTACCAAATAATAGCAACCAATAAATACAGGAGAACAGTATGGACTGCATGAGGACAGGTCAGGTGAAGTGAGTAAATGGGGCATTAGGGGTAGAACCACAATAAGGAAGACTACTGTGACCACAAATTTGAGGGTGCTTAAATATAAACTGTCAAAAATCAGGCAACTAACTTGCCTAGCAAACATTAAAAATTATTGTCGTTCTTTATGAACTATGTACATGGGTGATGACAGTATATCTGCAGCTGAAGACATAACTGTTCTTAAAGAGTAACATGAAGAAACCTGCTTAGAGCAGCAATTCAAACCACCAAGGGTGCAATGACTATCAGCACAGAGATATGGTACATTATGTTTAAGCTTTAGAAGTCAGAGCTGCATGAGCAAGTGTTTGGTACTTGGAAAACTCAGTACAAAGGTAAACCCAGGGAGAGCAACATCAGTTAAAGAACATAGTTTTAATGGCTCGTATGGCCTGAAATTCACAGAGAGGTCCACTTTCGCAATGCTCATTGCCAAAGCATAAAGACTGAGCAATATTCTCAGAATGCTGGGGTAAGATGTGTATTAAATCATGTATTTTAGAGGAAGTTAGAAGAAATCAACCAAACTGATGAAAAGAAGGTAGCAGTTTCAATTATCCTGCATTTCCAACAGACTGTACATGATCAATGAATATTCAGCGAGTAGTACACTGGTATTTTTTGGTCTGACACTCTTAGATCAAATATTTCATTGTACATTTCAACCTGTCAAAGCAAGTGCCAGGACTTGGTTTTGTAGGAGAAAGATCAAGTGGTATAGTGGGAAGGCAGCAGACTGGTGACTGAAGTGCAGCAGGAAGATGCCTATGAAATTGAGGCCCTATTTGGAAAGGCAAGCATCCATTAGGAGCACTAGAAAGAGAGAAGAGGGTTGAAAATTACATCTGAATGGGTCCAAGGAACAAAGCCTGCTCAGGCAAGGCAGCGTAACACATTAATTCTAGAATAAATTAAAGCTCCACTTCTTTGGTGTTCTTTGTTATCCAAACCTATTAACACTCATAAGACAGGATGGTTCTTCAAGGGTGTTAGGTTTCTAATAGTAAAACTGATATAAACAAATTAAAAGATGATTAATTTATACTGCCAGTATAAAAATTGGTTGTAATGAAATGGGAAGGAAATGGAGTATTTATCTAGGAGTCTTTTTTACTTAGTGTAAACATTGCCACCTGGACTTAGACCACTTCTAAGAATGCTCATGACACATGAAGCAGCAGATAATTCTGTTCCACTGGTTTGAAAAGGTCAGAACTGTAACAGCAACACAGCAAACCCAGCCTAAATCCTGAAGTGCCTAAAGAGCAACCAAATATTGCCAAGATCTGGCACAATGTTAATTCTTAGTTTATTGCTGCCTTAACCACCAGGATTAAGAATGCAAGGAAAACAGTTTATCTAGGTTTTTTTTTTTTAACGTAGTTACATTTTACACCAAAATATAATGTTAATAAAAGTGTTTGTTCATTTGACTTAAAGTTTGCAACTGAAGTACCAGACAGCTCTAAATTGTCTTCTGATTAAGTGAACCTTCAACCCACATCAACATGCAATTTAGTGTAGTTATGTCATTAACACAATGTTCAAAACCAACAGAGGTTCCAGCTCCCAGCACTTTGGGGAGTCTACTGCATGGCTTTGCACACCAAATTCCAGCTTATTGTTTAGCACAACGAGTAGCTCTGTAATTAGATATCTTAAAGGGTTTCTGAAGAGGGAGAAATCTCTAAGGTACTCGTTTCAGCTCTCCTGTAAGTGTATAGTAGACCTAATCATACTGGCTTCAGTATGATTACTACTTGTGAGAAAAAGTAGCGAAGAATGAGTGTCAAGGATGATTCTTCTCGGGGTAGAAGGAACAACGTAAGCACCTTTTGCTGCAGATAGTTTGATTTATAGCACATTATTATTATATATTTGAACTCAATATCTGTTTCATAACTAATAGTTATTAAGGGATGTGAACATTAAAAATAGGTATGTTATCCATGACTGTCTGCAATTGTATTCTAATCCCTACTAGACTGTGTCTCAGCAGCTTATTCCTCTATAAGAACAGTGTCCCTCTGTGAGGCTAATAATCCTCTCTTTAGCAGTGGCCAGTAATGAAGGTTTAGAGAAAAGTTTCACACAGTAACAATATATGACATCTCCTTGAAGTAGTCATCAACATCTAAACATTTGTGGCTTAATCTTTTTTTTTTTTTTTTTTTGCTATTTGTTTAGTGGATTCAATCACGTCTCTCATCTTGTCATAAACAGTATCACTTCAGACAGTGGAAAACTTGAGCAAAAATAAATTTAGAGTCAGTGAAGTTCCTCTGACATTTTGTTAAGCACTGAGATATATTCACACATAAGCTACAATTCCTCTAGATAGTAAGAATATGAAATTTATGTCCTAGATAATTTACTTGATTCTATGGAGGAATGAAGAACCAGATAATTTCAGATTGGTCAATTGTAAGATTTCACAGGCGTGATAATAGTCTCGTTTGAGGACAGCAATGTAATATTCGGAAGACTCTATAGATGGCAGTATTGGAGAAGACTTGTCAGTGGCTAAAATAAACCCAGTGTTGATCACAATATTTCCATAAATTTAAAATTATTCAGCAGTTTTCTTTAATAGGATTAGTTTGTGCCACATACTTTCATAAAATCTATTAAAAGATTTTTTCTTAACTTTAAGGCATCATAGTGAATGATATTGCCCTTTTCACAAAGAAATAAGTTAATAGATTTCTTCAATTACGTATTAGTCTCTGAATTCCATAGCTACAAATACTGCATGGCAATGTACAGCTCTTAAAGAAATGAAAGCAGATGTAAAGAGCTTTTCATTATTCTACCTCAATTTAATGAGATACTTCTCAAGCAATAAAGCTATTTCTTTGATGAACAAATGGCAAACATCTTTGGCCATTTATATCAGCTCAAGTCAACTTCCTGATATTCTAATATCAAATTCCATGATTCTGATAAAAGAAATACAGAAAATTTTTGAAAATACCTGATAAACTGTCAGAAAAGAAAAAATAATGCGAATTCTGTAACTAATCCTTTTTCATAGCCACGATAAATGAATGAAAAATGGCAGAAACTGACTTTTGGAAAAAATTTTACTATAAAGGACTTTTTCTTTCTACATAGCCTAGAACTCTACTTGACATATTTTGATTGCTATTGTAAGACCAATTAATTCTCAGTATGACTTAGCTCAAGACTTTTACATGGCAAGACACCTTTCATACAAACACTTAAGCACACATGCATGTATGCATGCATATGCTGAATTTATCTGACAGAGCAGTTAGACTTGCTGGCTTAATGCACTAACTATTTCAGAGTTATTATATGGAAACTTGTGTTTCTGTGTTTAACCATTTAAAGGACAACTGCAGTCACTTGTCAGCTTAGTTTGAGCCTTCTGTTTCCATCAAGCTTTCCTCACAGCTTGAAGCTGCCAACTGCAGCAGGTCCTGTGCTTCCTGTTATACCAACCAGGCCCATGTGGATGGCCTGGAGGTGCTAAAGCATCTCAGTGACAAACATGTTTAAGTAACTGAATCCTGTCTTATGTTATATTGAAAATAATGGGTACTTTCATGCTAAATGTAAGTGTCTTAATGCCAAAATTAATCCCTATTTCCCTGACTTTGATGAAGACCTTTGGCTCACACTAGGAGACGATCTGGTTTGAGACCATCTTAAGAACCTGAATGTACACAAGTCCATGGGACCTGATGAAATCCATCTGCGGGTCCTGAAGGAGCTGGCAAGCGAAGTTGCTAAGCCACTGGCCATCACATTTG